AATAACAACAAAAACAAACATTAGGAATACCTGATCAAAGATACATATTTAAAATTCAGGCAAAATATTGCTAAATTGTTACCAAAGTATGATTTGGCAAATTGCCAAATGTCCTTGTGCTACATCCACATGTGGTGTGCCAGCTCCTTGCACCCTGAGTRACACCAGCAATTGTCAACTGTTTTAGTTTCTGCTAATCTTTTAGGGGAAACAATATATGAAATTATTATTTTGATTAGCATTTCTTTATAAATGAGGTTTAGCATCTTCTGGTTATCTGTATTTCTTTTATATGAACTACCCATTTTCCACTGTATTCTTTTCTTTATAGATTTGTATAAATTCTTTGTAAAAAAGCTCTTTGTTACATATATTGCAAGTAATTTCCTCTTTTTATGAAGCACTTTGAARTATTTATGTAATTACATTTTCAATCTTTCCCTTTGTGACTTTTGGGCCTGTTCCTACTTAGAAAAGCCCAAGGCTAAGACTACAAATTAATTCTCTGATGTTTTCTCTTTGTACTTTCATAGTCTCATTTTTTATTATTTAAATATTTATTGCTTTTGAAATTTTTTTTGATGAATTAAAATAGGGATCCAGATTTATTTTTTCCTGAAATTTTAATCAGTCTTTGTGTGTGTGTATGTGTGTGTGTGTGTGTGCCTGTGTGTGTGCAGTGCTGGAGATTGAACCCAGGGCCTCACACATGCTAAGCATGGGCTCTCCTTGTAAGCTATACCCCCAGTATCTCAGTCCTTATTTTTGAGTGGATTATCCATCTTGGTGTAAAATGCCAACTTCACCCAATACTAAATTAGCCAGTGTATCTTGGACTTTCTCTGCTGTTCCTTTGAGCTGCCCATTTCTTCTCTAGCTCTAAGATGTTTATGGTTAGACCCTTAATTACTATTTTTCAGTAGAGGACATTTATTCTTCTACATCAGGTTTTATCAACAGTGGTGCCACTGACAGTTTGGGCAGAATAATTACGGGGGACTATCCTATGCCTAAGATGTTTGGCAGCACCTCCACCCTCTTCCCACTAGATGTCAGTATCACCTTTCAGTCTTGACAACCCAAATCATCATCAGACATGGCCAATTACTCACTGGGTCTTAGGAGGGAACCAAGTTCAGACCCTACTGAGATCCAGTTTCAGATATACTCCAGTATAATTTTATGCATGTTTTCCACTCCCAAATTCCCACTCATATTTTAATTAGGATGAAAATGAATTCATAGAATAATTTAGACATCCTATTACACTTAATGTGTTATACTATCAAAATTTAATATTTATTATAAATCTTCTTAACCAAAAACCAACCACCGATAGTCTTCCACTTACTTATATCTTCTCTGAAGGGCATAAACTTGTTCTTTAAAAGAGTTTTTAAATGCTTTTTAATATATAGTTCCTTGTACTACTAAGTTTATTCCTAGGTATTTTACTTTTATCATTTCTTCATAAACAGGGTTGTTTATTATATTATTATCTTTTAAAACTAGTCATTGATAAGAAAGCTATTTATTTATCCATTTTGAGTCAGCCCTCACTATGTTGGCCTTGAACTCCTGGGCCAAGCAATCCCCCTGCCTCAACCTTCAGAGCAGCTGGGCCTACACATGCCATATATTTTATATCACCAAAGAAGCCTCCATATGTTTATAGTCTACCAAGAGTCTGTTATTAATCAGAAAGATTGATAATTGTGACAAATATATCTTGTATATCTATTTTTCAGTATAGGATATTTATTCTTCTACATCAAGTTTTATCAACAGTGGTACCACTGACAGTTTGGGCAGAATAATTACTGGGGACTGTCCCAGGCATAAGACAGGCATAAGGCAGCACCTCTACCCTCTGCCCACCAGGTGTCAGTATCACCTCCCAGTCTTGACAACCTAAGGTAGTTTTTTCTTTGGTCTATTATTATTCTACAATAGATCAGATTGAGATTCTCTATTATTCATTCATTCTTGGTTGACATAAATCCACTTGATTGTGATATATACTACTATTTTTWAATTTCTTGTTGAATTCTATTTGCTAATATTTGAACTTACATTTTTTTGCTTTTAAATAAGCTTTTTATTTTAGAATAATTTCATTGATAGAAAAATCATAAAGATAGTACAGATTTTCCATATATTCAGCATACATTTTCCCCTATTAACATTTTATGTTAGTATGGTACAATCATTACAAGTAATGGATCGATAATTATATACTATTTTCATTAAGGTTCATACTTTCAAATTTCCTTAATTTTTTAAAATTATTTTTWAAAATATTTATTCTTAAGTTTTAGGTGGACACAATATCTTCATTTTACATTTAYGTGGTGCTGAGGATYGAACCCAATGCCTCGTGCAAGCTAGGCGAGCACTCTACCACTGRGCCACAACACCAGCCCCTCTTTAGTTTTTATCTAACATTATTTTTCTGTGTTAGRATCCAATCTACAAGCCATCTTACATTTAGTARTTTYGTATTCTTAGTCTCTTCTTGTCTGTAACAGTTTATCAGATTTCTCTTACTTTGTATAGTCTTATGAGTCTGAAGAGTATTCAACAGTTATTTTGTAGAATGTTCCTCAATTAAGATTTYGTCTGATATTTACCTCCTGAGTAGTTTCAGTAGATTCATTGGTATTACATATCTTATTCTGAATTACTGAATTAGGCAAAGTCGACCTACTTAGTCCCTCACTTGAGCCTGTCGAACAAGATGGTAAGAGACTAACTCCATCACAGAGGGCTTTATCTTCTAGGTAATTCTCACTTTGGTCACACAAAGAACAACCATGGGAAGATTATAGAAAGAAAAATCAATTTTAAAATTGGAGAAAGCTGTTTAAACACTAACTGAGGTACATTATTAAAAGTGTACTTAAGAAAAATGAACTTAAACATTAGAATTTGGATCAAAACTGAAAGATAYACCCAAATACAAATACTACATATGGTGTAGTCAAAGAAAGAGAGTAAACAGATCTAACAGATATTTTAAACTATAAACCCCTAGGGTCTTTGTTTATATCAACCTTGTTGCCCTTCAACAAATGAATGGATAAAAAATGTGAGATATATATATATATACACACACACACATACACACACACACACACATACATTGGAATATTACTCAGCTATAAAAATGAGTGACTTTATGATTTTTTTTCTTGTAAGTAGATGGATCTGGAGACTACCATGCTAAGTGAAATAAGCCAATCCTCCCAAACCAAAGGTCAAATGTTCTCTCTGATACACAGATACTAACACACAACAGGGTGGGGAGAGGGGAAGAATAGTAGTTTAGTAGATTAGACAAATGGGGAATGAAGGGAAGGGAGGAGAGATAGAAATAGGAAAGAGAGTGGAATGAATCAGACTTAACTTTCCTAAGTTCATATATGAATACACCACCAGTGAAACTCCGTATAATGTTCAATTATAAGAATGGAATCYTAATTAGAATAAGTTATACTCCATGTATTTATAATATGTCAAATAACACTCTACTGTCGTGTATATCTAAAAAGAACAAATAAAAAAAAGACAAAAAAGAAATGCAGTTTGTCTACGGACATACTGGGATGTCTGATTTTTAATTCTTGGACAAAATAGGATGGAATATATAATGTGCTCTCTAAGGTTGGAATGTTCCCCTAATGATCTCCGAGGTTTCTTTACTAATGGCTTTCAACTCTCCTAAAYAGTTTGAAAAGCCTCTCTTGGTTATTGAAAAAGCTACAGAAAACTTTTTCCAGGAAGCTTTCTGAACATGTAAGATGTTGATCTGACATTTCGGCATCAATATTTGAGAGTAAAATTGTTCTGTCATTTTTTAGTGGGCTTTAATAATTTTTGGAATCAGTGTTAGGCTAGTTTGGTCTGAAAAATAAGTTGGGCTTTCATTATTGTTGTTTGCAGTACTGACAATGGAACTCAGGGCCTCACATATGCCAGGCAAGAATTTTACCATTAAGCTACATCCTCAGCATTTTT